CTGCTGAAGGAGTCCAACTACCCCACAGATGAAATCAAGTGAGCGCCTCTGACCCTTGCATTCTTGGTGCCAGTGTGAGGGTGCCTTGTGCTCCTGCCTGTTCCCCTGTGCCCCCTCCCAGGCCTGCGGCTGCACAGGCTGCCTCAGATGGAGCAGTGGGCCCTGTGCTGGGTCTCTCTGAACAGTTTCCCAGGCGTGCGGGCACCCAATCTCCTGTGCACTGAGCTTGGGGATGTAATGCCTGTCCAGCCAGCACCCTCTCACCTGCAGCTCTGGATATCACTGGTGCATGCCGGGGTGACTTGTGTCATTTGGGTTGTTTGCCCTATGTCCCCGGGCTGTGTTGCTCTTGTGTGTCTGTGTTTTACACGTTTTTGCCTGTGGAGGTGATGGTCCAGGACTCTTGGGTGTCTGCCAAGGACCGACAGAGCCAGAACAGCCTCCTGGTGTCCCTGGTCCAGAGCTGCTGTGTGAATGTCCTCTGCAGTCAGTTGGGGTGGGTCCCACCAGGAAAGGGGAACAGACAGCTGATGCTGGGGAAGCCATAGTTTACCTGGAGGAAAGTGGTGTCCTGGGTACTTCTTCCCTAGCTCCTGGGAAAAAGGAGGGCAGGGAAAGCAGAGGCAGGGTATTGGATGCTGCCAGGCAAAGCAGAAATCCAGATAGCGAGCCCTTCTGGGCAGCAGCCAGCACAGCAGGGACCTAAATCCATGGGGTCTTCAAACTCAGCTCACACACAAGTGTGCAGTGGCTCCTCTTCTAACCCTCTTCAGTGTGAAGGGATTGATAGGGGAGGGTGCCCCTATCACGTGTGGTGCAGGTTTGTAAAAGGCCTTCAGGAGGAGTCAGAGAACCGTAGACCAGCGGGTTCATATCAAGCCAGTAGTAACGAGGACTAGAATGAGTAGATTTGTGGATGAATTTTATGGTTAAATTTTTCAGTAATTGGAAGAGTCGTGCCTTAACTCTACCAGAGGTCTGGAGGGAGTCAGCAAGCCCATGGGAAAGGCAGCCTGGCCAGCATGGTGTGCCTGGAGTGCCAAAACACTTCTGCCAAGTTCACTTAAAAGCCTTCAAGAGGGAAACTAACTTGTTATGGAATAGGAGAGAACGTGCCCATTTGGATTCATAATGGGTTGAAAGACAGGAAACGCAGGGTAGGAATAAAGAGCCACGTATCACAACAGGGAGCGCAGTTACCAGTAGAGCCTGACAAGCCTCTGTGCTGCGGCTTCCACAAGAATGTGTGCTGGTACAGGGGCACGTAGATGATCTGGAAGTGGCACAGATTAGAGAGGTGTGAGGTCCGCTGATGAAATAAATCTAGCACTGAACGTAAAGTTACAGATGGATCTTGTGGTTCTGAGTGCTTGAAACTCGGTGCTGATAAACGCAAAGTGAGGCAAACAGGGAAAACACTCCTAATGGACGAGTGTAGTAGCAGGCTCTAATGCAGCTATTATATCTCTGGGAATGACTGCAGACAGTTCAGACAGGGCCAGCAGCAGCATCCAAAAAGACCTGCGGTGTTAGGAATTGTTAGGAAAAGCTGAGGGAACAAAAGGGAGACCCCAGCCCTGCCCTGCAGTTTTCTGTCTTAATACTTTGGAGATCTAGTTTTGGTCCCCTCCATGTCACATGCAGAGAAGGGGTGGGATAATCGGAGGCACGAAACACCTCTGGCAAGAGGAGAGATTAAGAGATTAGGACTCTAATCTGAAAGAGAGACAGCTGAGGGGTGCGATCAGAGTCTTTAAGCGACTAGCATGGAGAAAGGGATTCGGCAATGTTTGTTCACATGTGTGGGAACAGATGGACAAGGAGGCCCAGGGAAACTAGCAAGCTCCAGATTTAGAGCAAGTAAAAGGAAATATTTTTTCACAGTGTATCTGAGTACACAATGGAAGTCATTGCCAAGGGCTGTGTGGAGGCTGCAAGAATAAATACGCTGAAATAGAGACTAAACAAAGTTGGAGGAAAACAAGTCCCCTGTGACAGTTAAACATGAGGTTCTGGATTCAGCCCTTGGCACATGCAGGCCAGGAGCTGCTGCCTGCTGGAGGACATGGTCAGGGCAGAAGTCAGGGTGCACCTGCCCCATACCAATTTCCTGGGGCGTGATATCACTGTGGGATACTGGCTGTCAGGGGCTCCGTGTGTCCTTGCGGGACTGTGGTGCGTCCCTGCCCCTGTGGAGCACCACCTTGTCCAGGCTCAGATGTTAGCTCCGTGGCCCAGAGCAGCAGGCTGAGAGTAACGTACCTGGCGAGTGGCATGTGTCAAGAGCCAGGACGCTCCTGTCCCTGGCAGCTGCAGCCCTTCTACCCTCCGAGCTGGGCAGATGTCCTCTAATGGCAGGTTCATCTCTCTTCTTCAGTATGAAGGTCGTTGTGGAAGATGCCACATGTTCTGCAAACATCACCATCAGGGTCCATGCTCACACTACAATAGCAACGCTCAAGCAGCAGGTATGGAGCGACACGAAGGTGTGATCTCCGCTAGCTCGATACAGGGGCTGGGTCGTGGGGTGCTGAGCCCCACCAGCCTTTCTTGTGCAGACACCCCTCCTGGCAGGGAGACAAGAAAGGCTGCAGAGCCCAAAGGGTTGATGCAGCCGTCTTAGGCGCTTACACCTCTAGTGCGAGAGCTAGTTTTTCCTCCATCCCTCTCCTTTTGTAGAGCTGGTTCTTCACCAGTTCTTTTGGCTCTCTCATGAATGCCAATTTGATATCAGCCCTTGCTGGGCAACAAGGCAGGGTGAAAAGCTCCTGGGAAGCGTGCGCTCAGGATGCCATGGCTATGAGCTTACCTCTGAGCTTCTGCTGCCCAGGTGTTCCGGGACTATGGCTTCCACCCCTTGGTTCAGCGGTGGATCATCGGGCAGTGCCTGTGTGTGGATGAACGGACGATTTCCTCGTACGGCATTCGCCGGGATGGAGACACCGCGTTTCTGTATCTGCTCTTGGCAAAGACGGCCGAGCTCACTGAACAGCGCTATGAGGAGGATCAGGCACAACTCATGCTGAACTCCACCTCCTCGCTGACCAACAGCGCCAGCGCTGAGGAAAAACGCAAATACAACACCCTGCCAAACATGTCTCCGAAGAAAGGTCTGGCTCACCTCTGCCCTCCCCTTGGACTTGCAGGAGGGAAGGGCAGCCGAGTTCCTGCCTGGCAGACCCTGCTGTCCCAGTGGTGGGCAGGGACGTGTGTGGCCCTAGTTGGGGGGTTCAGGGGGAGTTCTCCTGGCAGCACGTCCCTGGCTTGGAGGGCAGGGCAGTAACTCGGGCCCTGCTGCACAGGTGCTTAGAGGCTGAGTGGCTGCTTCAGGGTGGAGCAGAGCAAGGCTCTGAATGCTGGTACCCCTGTCCCGGTCTTGGGAAGCCGCTCTTTGTCTGCACTCGCTGCGCTGCTGAGCATGTCCTGGAAGACCCTTTGGGGGCTTGCTTTTGCCTTTCTCCTAACTGAGGTGGGGTTGTAAGGAGAGATTCAAGCTCCGTCCTGGACGTGTATCCAGGATGGGGCCTCATCCTGGAGTCAGCACATCAGAGTCCTGCCCGGCTGTGGCAAGTGTGGGGAGGCCTCACGAGCCATTGATTTCCATGGGACCAGGAGTGGACCGTGCTCCGTGGACCGATGTTGCTGACGCTGATGGGTTGCAGCAGGGATGGTCTCACAGGGTTTGAGCCGTGTCCCTGCCTGGGGGCGAGCAGGGTGCGGGGAGGCTGCGTGCTGTCATGGAGCAAGTGTTTCTCCTCCCTGGAGAGGAGAAGACAAAGCTTCCTCCCTTGCGTGGGTCTCTGCAGCTGTGCCGCTCCCTCCCCTCGTCCCTGGCAGCAGGCTCCCGGGGCTCGATGCCTGTCTGTCACAGCGCGGTGATCTCAGCCAGGCCTGGCTGCCTGGCCTCGTGTCCCCGTGGTGGTGTTTGTAACGCGCCTGTTTCCTGGCGTTGCTTTCTAGCATGGGAGAATGACAGCAGCAGGAAGATGGACATTGGTGAAATCAGTCACCACTTGGATATGCTGCAGATTGGTGACCTTTTCAGTAACCAACCAAAACCTGCTCCTGCTAGCACAACTTTGCCTTCGCCAGTACAGGTATGGGGCCTGCAGTCCCCTTCCTTGTCACCGCTCCTGCCATCCTCCTCCCTCGCATAAGACGAGGCTGTCAGTCTGGGGTGGGCTGGGTAAGGGTAGGCACGTTCTCCGAGTCCTGTCCCCCTCTTCCCTCCAGAGTGGCTTTTCCTTGCTTCTGCAACTCGTGTGTGTTCTCTCCAGGCGGGCTGGTCGTGTCCAAAGTGTACCTTCATCAACAAGCCCACGCGGCCAGGCTGTGAGATGTGTAGCACAGACCGCCCTGCTGATTATGTGGTCCCGGGCAGCTACAAGCCCGATGAAATGGAGCTCTGGAGGATGCAACAGGAGCAGGAGGGAATCTTGCAGTACCAGCAGGTAACGGGGCCCACGATCTGACCTCGGGGAGCAGCCGCTGTCCCTGTGCCCATTGCTCGAGGACGGACCGGGGGAGGATCGTTCTTTGGCAGGGTTCGGAGGTGTCTCGTGAGCAAACGGTCCTGGGCTGAGCTGGGAAGGAGCCCCAGGCAAGGGGGAGACACAGTCCCCCCCGAGTGGTACCAAAGAGGGGCTGTTGCAGCCCCCTTCCCTCCTGAGAGGGCAGTGGTACCTGCATGCGTGTCCTGGAGACTCGTGTAGGTGCTACATTGTGATCACAGCATGTTCTGGCGCTGAGCGGCTGCTAGAGATGAGAGCTGCCGCCAGCCCTGGTGCTGCGGCAGCCGCAGCCTCCGGCAGGGATCTGACCAGCCTCGTTCACCAGCACCTGTGGCCTTGCAAAGGGAGAGCAGCGCTGTGGCAGGGCAGGGATCCCAGGACTGTAACCCCGCAGGCGAGCTTGGCGGGACGCGGCACCCTGGTCTGGCAGTGCGTTCTTCTCCCACCTAACTGTAGCGAGGTGTGCGTCTGCAGGGCACGTGCAGAGGGAGCTGTCGGGCTGTGCCGTGCTCGCTCGGTTTCTGCTTGCTGGAAGCTGTTTCCTCTGGGCATCATAGAAACGTGCGTGGGGCTCCGATGGGACCTCCTGCACCCAGGGAAACGGCTGCGGGGGGAGCCACAGCCCCGTGGCCGTGGCATGCTGTGGGACTGGGGTGCGTCCAGCTCAGCCACTGACCAAACCTTCTCTTCTTTCTTTTTTCTCTTGTGCCGGGATCCCACTAGGAAAAGGGAAGGAGAGAGGATGGTTCAGCTGCGCACAGCATCTTGGGCTCGGGTTCCTTGGATGACTTCATCCACCTGTCCTCCG